ATTATTTTTTTAAATTAAATACAAATTAAATAATCTAAACAAATAAATTTATGACTTAGATACGTTAATAGGAGTATAAAATTAAAGAGAAGACCTAGGATGCTGGGAATGAAGATTCTAGATGCCCCTCTTTATCGTGACCAACTGTCTATCAAACTCACTTTCACGCATCACATCCATCCTCTGCTATCTAACCCCGTTATTAAATTAAATTATTAACTAATCCAAGAAAGTCAAGTCACTCTACCCCATCTTGTCTTCTTGTTAATCGTGTTGGTAAAAGAACGATAATTTTTAGGATCAATCATTAGAGTAAAATTTTGGTCGAATTTTTAGTAACTACTAACTATAATAAAAGTTTCAAATAAACTCTTTTAATTAATAATTAAAATAATTTTTTATAATAAAAATTTTAAATAAATTCACTTAATCAATGATTAAAATAATTTTATTTTAATTTTAATAAAGTGATTTAATTGTTAAAAATTTAAAATTTTAAGTTGCAAGTTTTAAATACAAACTTTAAGTAAAAAAAAAATAGATTTAAGAAAAATAAAAAACTATTCTTTTTATATAATCTATTTATATATATAATAATTTTATTTTAAAATTTAATTCAAAAATCGTTATTCTTTTTAAAAGAATTTTGTACAGTACAATTGTGCTTTCACTAAAGTTACATTTTTTTTTTTAATATCCTTGTACCTAATCTTGACGGTGGAGATCTTTGATTAAGTGGGGATTGCCTCCCATGAATTGTATGCTCAATTCTCATAAATGACATTTTCCTTTCAAAATTGCCCTTGTTAAAAAAAAAAAACATTTTTTTTAATGTACTAAAATAAATGATTCCGGCTTGTAGGAAAAGAGGATGAGGATGGAACAGAGGTTTAAACTCTTGCTATAAATGTAAGTAAGTTTATATATATATATATATATATATTATAGTGATAAAACTATTTTAATTACAAATTTAGTTTTGTAATAATCCTTAGTTTTCAAAACAATATACTATGTCTATGACTGGACAATTGTAATATTCTTCTTTTTTTGTTTGGACGGTTTGGGTGCCTCAAGAAAATTGACAAATTTAAAAATATATAATTATATTGACATAATATATTTAAAAAATAATAATTTTTATTAATTTTAATTCATCTAATATAAAAAACCACGATTAATTACTTATTACTAAATTTAACTCTTGAAATTAATGACAACTATATTTTAACACATTATTATGCATTTTAAATCAAGTGAGTCAAAATGAATGAGAACCTTCCATTTTATTTATTTATTTTTGTTTAGACCATATGGTATTTGAAAACTCATTGGGTTACTGATTAATTCAGATTCGGGCCGAACAGGACTCAATGAGCGGTAAAACTCTCCCTCACGAGTTTTAATGGAACTGCATTTCCAAAACTTGAAACAAAGACCTCTGATTAAGTTGGAAGAGTCACTTGTCAACTCATTCACTCGCTCGTAGATCCCATTTTGTTATTAATGAGTAATGATGTACATATATATCATTAAATGAACAAATATATATAATATTATAGATTTTAATAAAATAAAAAATTAATAATTAAACAACATATAAAATTATATGAAAAGATTATATAAAAAACTATTTTCAATCATTTTTCAATATTTATTTGTTTACGAATCAAAACTTTAATGGTTGATTATAACAAATAACATATATATATGTGTGTGTTTTTTTATCGGCTGAAACTAGAAAAAATTAGTTGACAATATTTTAAATTATTTTATTTTGATGAATTTATTATATTATAGATAAATAATTTAATTTTAAATTATTTTTTTACATTTTTTAATAAATATAGCTAATAAACATTTTTATCATATAAAAATACTCACACACTCTATAATGTTGATATTTTTCTATATTTATAAGCAGAGCAAATTAATAACCTTTTTAAGTGATTGAATCAGTTAGAAACTTAAGACATTCACCTGAAATTAATATCGATCACTCGGGATATGAAATGATTTGATATATCAACCTGCCCTTACCTAATTTAACTTCGCTCTCTCTTTACTTGGCAAAAAATGTAGGATACAAACAACAAAAATGTTTTAACGGTAAAATAGCCGCTTCCTTATACTAAGAATAAATAAGTGGGATTTGTTGGAGAAATGTGAAATATTGATACTTTTTTGACCAACCTGCGTGCAGCACAGACCTGGATCCGTGTGAGGAATAGTAGTCGAGTATCATGAGCGTAATAAATGTCAAAGGCTTGCTCATCAAGCATATGCCCTTCTTTATAAACTGCTCACAAAAGAGATGAGCAGCAGTCAAAAGGTAGGGGAGAAAGGAATCGTTCAAGTAGACGAACTCCAGATTTCAATAATTGCTCATTTCAACAGCCCTTCTCATCTTTTGTTAGGTGGTTGCTTCAAAATCAATCACTTCTTTTTTCACATTAACCCATTTCAGGTTGATTCTCCTTTTCCCTTCTATGTGCAACTTTTGGGTTTTTGTTGAATGCTCTTTTTAAGAAGAAAGTTGATGCCTTTGATTGGAAAGTCAAGGGTTTTGTTTAAATGGGCACATGGGTTGTTCTTGAATCTTTGTTCTCTGTTTTCTATTTAGGGGTTAATTTGTTACATCATTTCTGTACAGATTTTAATAATCTTTTAAAAAATTGCTAAATTTATAGTACTTACCAGTTGTCAATTCTTTTAGAATAATAATTCCAATGCTGCGGTGTCAGCTGGAACGAAACAGAGGGCTCTGCTGGTGATTCTATGTCTGCTGCATTTTGATTTGTACATGGATTGTTCTTGTCTTGCTTGCTTATAAGTTGCTGATTTTTGACATTGATTGTTCTATATCCAGATTAAGAACTTGGGGTTGGAATAATGGCTATAGAGAATGCCCCAAATGGGGAGACAGAGTTACAGGCAGCAGGCACATCGAAAAGCCAGGAGGACGCTGGAAAAGGACCAGAGGGGACAAGCAAACCCACTGAGAAAACCAACACGGTCCCATTTTACAAGCTGTTCTCTTTTGCTGATTCGACAGATTGGTTGTTAATGCTTGTTGGAACCATCGGTGCCATCGGAAATGGGCTGTGCATGCCTCTGATGACTATAATATTTGGTGACCTCGTTAATGCCTTTGGCCAGAACCAGAACAACAGTGAAATTGTTCATGTGGTTTCTAAGGTAATCAATAAGAACAAACTTTGTAAATGATTTTTGAATTTGTGGTTAAATTTTGATATGTGAAATTTATGGATCTTGTGGAAAAATTTCAGATGTCTCTTAAATTTGTTTACCTGGCAATTGGGTCTGCTGCAGCAGCATTTCTTCGTAAGTAATGTAATTTCCAATATGTAAAGTCCATACTGATGTATTTACGTGTTTATCTTCTGAAAATCCTTCTTTTTTTTTGGCAGAGGTAAGTTGTTGGATGGTCACAGGAGAAAGGCAGGCGGCTCGGATAAGGGGCTTGTACTTGAAAACTATATTGAGACAAGATGTTGCCTTTTTTGATGTGGAAACGAACACAGGAGAGGTTGTGGGAAGGATGTCTGGTGACACTGTTCTCATACAAGATGCAATGGGCGAGAAGGTAAGGAAGGACACACTGAATTGCATTAATCTTTTGTAGATGTAATCTTCAAGCTATGGTTTATATTTCTGCATATGTTTTTGTAGGTTGGGAAATTCTTACAACTAATGGCTACCTTTATTGGAGGCTTTGTGATTGCATTTATCAAGGGATGGCTTCTTGCACTTGTCATGTTGACTTCTATTCCTCTTCTTGGAGTAGCTGGTGGTGCCATGGCCATAGCAATTTCAAAGATGTCATCCCGTGGACAAAATGCTTATGCGAAAGCAGCAACTGTTGTGGAACAGACAATTGGTGCTATCAGAACAGTGGGTTTCATGTCTATAAATGCCTTGAAGATAAATTGTTGATTTTATTTTTATCTAATTCTTCAATCTAATTTTAGGTTGCAGCTTTCACTGGAGAGAAGCAAGCCATAAGCAACTACAACAAGTTTCTTGTTACTGCTTACAATTCAGGTGCTTATGAAGGCCTTGTAACTGGACTTGGTCTTGGTGTAGTTATGTTAGTCATTTTCTGCAGTTATGCTTTGGCTATATGGTTTGGTGGCAAAATGATTCTAGAAAGAGGATACAATGGTGGTGAAGTACTTAATGTGATTATTGCTGTGTTAACTGGTTCCATGTGAGTCAAATTTTGATTGTTTGGCTTCCATTGAGCTTCATTTGTATAAGCTAAAGAAAACCATTACTCATTTCACTACCTTGTGGATTTTTCAGGTCTCTGGGGCAAGCATCTCCTTGCATGAGTGCATTTGCTGCTGGTCAAGCTGCAGCCTATAAGATGTTTGAGACTATTGAAAGGAAGCCAGCTATAGATTCTTATGACACAAGTGGGAAAATACTGGAGGACATCCGTGGAGACGTAGAGTTGAGGGATGTTTACTTCAGTTACCCAGCTAGACCTGATGAGCAAATATTTAGTGGATTCTCTCTTTTCATTTCTAGTGGCACAACAGTTGCTTTGGTTGGACAAAGTGGAAGTGGAAAATCAACAGTAATAAGTCTAATAGAGAGATTTTACGATCCACATGCTGGTGAAGTTCTTATTGATGGCATTAACCTCAAGGAGTTTCAGCTAAAATGGATAAGGGGAAAGATTGGCCTCGTCAGCCAGGAACCTGCATTGTTTACTGGCAGTATCAAAGATAATATTGCATATGGAAAGGAAGGTGCAACAACTGAAGAGATAAGAGCTGCTGCTGAACTTGCAAATGCAGCCAAATTTATAGACAAACTACCTCACGTACGGTTTAATCTGTTGTTCTATTTGAATACTGCATTCTCCATTTTATGCCCATATAACCTGTAGATTTACAATTTTAATTGAATTTCTTATATAGGGACTAGACACCATGGTTGGTGAGCATGGTGCACAGCTCTCTGGTGGACAAAAGCAGAGAGTTGCAATTGCAAGAGCTATTCTAAAAGATCCACGCATTTTACTTTTAGATGAAGCTACAAGTGCACTGGATGCAGAATCCGAGAGGATAGTGCAAGAGGCATTAGATAGAATTATGGGCAATCGAACTACAGTCATTGTTGCCCATCGTTTGAGCACTGTCCGAAATGCAGATATGATTGCAGTTATTCACCGGGGAAAGATGGTTGAAAAAGGTATCTTAAAACTTATAGCCATATGCACATCATAAATCTAAATATCTATATGCCTTAGTGGTGGAGTTGTGGTCTAGTTAAGTGACCTTGACATTTCTTCTTTCTTCAGTTAGAAATTCTAGCCTTTTTTTCTTTGTTATTCTGCAATGGTTTTGTATAGTAGGAAAAATTACTGACTTTAAGTCCTTGACTTTCGAGTCTTTAAGAGGAAGCCCTGTAATTCATCCGCAAGATTAGTTACCAATAGCTTATTGGAAGAATTCATTTAGAAAAGAAGATTAAGTGACAAATGTACCATTAGGACATTCAATTGCTTCAATTTGAAGAATTCATAGGACAACTGGTGAACTGATCTTGTGTAATAGACAACACCAAACCATCAGCTATGATTCAATTATTCTGTGAGTCAGTTACAAATATGCTTCATGGTAGGATAAATTTAAAAAATTGCATTGCAATCATCATTAACAGAACATGATATTTTGACAGTTGATAAAATGTTTGTCAATTGAGCAGGGCCACATACTGAACTTCTCCAGGATCCTGATGGAGCTTACTCTCAGCTTATTCGTTTGCAAGAAGTGAATAAAGAGTCAGAAGAGGGGGCAGATGACCAAAGCAGATCAGATATTACTGTGGAATCTATTAGACAATCAAGCACAAGAATTTCATTGAAGCGATCAATCAGTCCAGGATCATTTGGAGTAGAAAACAGCAGTCGTCGCTCCTTTTCAGTTTCTTTTGGCTTACCAACTGGGATAAATGTTGAAACTGCAGTGGCCGATGAAGAGGCCCCTTCTGCATCACCACCAGAGAATCCTCCTGTCCCACTTAGTCGCCTTGTTGCTCTCAACAAGCCAGAAATTCCTGTTCTTCTACTTGGAAGCATAGCTGCAATTGTCAATGGGGCAATACTTCCCATTTTCGGTATACTGATCTCAAACGTGATCAAGACATTCTATAAACCACCTGATGAACTGAAAAAGGATGCAAGCTTTTGGGCACTGATATTTGTTTCCCTTGGCGTGGCATCATTATTAGCATATCCAGCAACAACATACTTATTTGCTGTAGCTGGATCAAAATTAATCCAACGAATCAGATCAATGTGTTTTCAGAAAGTTGTTCACATGGAGGTTGGCTGGTTTGATGAACCTGCACACTCAAGCGGTGCAATTGGTGCAAGGCTCTCAGCTGATGCAGCAACAGTACGTGCTCTTGTTGGAGATGCCCTATCTCAGATGGTGCAAAACCTTGCATCAGCAGTTGCTGGTTTGGTTATTGCTTTCACTGCAAGTTGGCAGTTGGCTTTAATTATCCTCGTACTACTTCCTTTGATAGGGGTCAATGGATATGTTCAAGTAAAGTTCATGAAGGGATTTAGTGCAGATGCAAAGGTATAATTCTTTAAACTAATGATTCATATTCTTTGGACAAATTTTTTATTAAAATTATTAATCAAGTTTACAAATGTTTGCAGGCAATGTATGAGGAAGCAAGCCAAGTTGCTAATGATGCAGTTGGGAGTATAAGAACAGTTGCTTCATTTTGTGCTGAGGAAAAAGTGATGCAACTATATAGAAGGAAATGTGAAGGCCCTCTGAACTCAGGGAAAAGGCAGGGGTTGATTAGTGGGGCAGGATTTGGACTTTCTTTCTTCTTACTTTTTTCTGTTTATGCAACGAGCTTTTATGCAGGAGCTCAACTGGTTAAGAGTGGAAAGACAACATTCTCAGATGTTTTTCGAGTGAGTATTTCTTCCACGTCCAGCAAGTTTCTCCTAGAAACTTTGTGCTAGACATGTTGAGGGGATACTAAAACTAATATCTGTTTTTACAGGTTTTCTTCGCTTTGACTATGGCAGCTGTAGCAGTTTCTCAGTCAAGCTCCTTTGCTCCTGATTCCGGCAAAGCCAAGGTTGCCGCTGCTTCCATATTTTCTATTATTGACCGGAAATCTAAGATAGACCCAAGTGATGATTCTGGGATGACATTAGACAATGTGAAAGGAGAAATTGAGCTTCAGCATGTCAGCTTTAAGTATCCACTAAGGCCAGATATTCAGATTTTCCGAGACTTGACCCTGGCTATTCGTGCTGGCAAGGTAACCATCAAATTCCTAATTAAAATTTAGGCTCAACATCTTTCAAACAAATCTAGGAAAAATTTTGTGACATTCAATTTCATAACATGCTAATCTAAACTTAGTCAATGTCTTCTTTCAGACGGTTGCTTTAGTAGGAGAAAGTGGGAGTGGAAAATCGACAGTTATAGCACTGTTGCAAAGATTTTATGACCCTGATTCGGGTCGTATTACTCTAGATGGTGTTGAAATCCAAAAGCTACAATTAAAGTGGCTCAGACAGCAAATGGGACTTGTGAGCCAAGAACCAGTTTTGTTTAATGAGACAATTCGAGCAAACATTGCATATGGCAAGGAAGGAAATGCAACTGAGGCTGAAATTTTGGCTGCGGCAGAGTTAGCCAATGCCCACAAATTCATCAGTGGGTTACAACAGGTTAGGACATCCTAAAACCTTGTCCTAAAACTTTATCAGTGGGTTTCAACAATAGCTAAAACTAAAATATATGTTGTTTGCTTAATGATCTCGTTCATAATGCAGGGTTATGATACCATGGTAGGAGAGCGCGGGGTTCAGTTATCAGGTGGACAGAAACAGCGTGTAGCCATTGCGCGTGCTATTGTTAAAAATCCAAAGATTTTGCTACTAGATGAGGCTACAAGTGCCTTAGATGCTGAATCTGAGCGAGTGGTTCAGGACGCACTAGATCGAGTCATGGTTAACCGCACCACAGTTGTTGTTGCACATCGGTTGTCCACCATCAAGAATGCAGATGTTATTGCTGTTGTTAAAAACGGGGTTATTGTTGAGAAAGGAAAACATGATACCCTGATAAACGTCAAAGATGGGTTCTATGCCTCCTTAGTAGCACTTCACACCAGTGCTTCGACCTCATAATTAAGCTTGTAATTCAGTAATTATCCCACCGAATCCCTTTTTTTTATTTTATTTTTTATTTTTGGGTAATAAAGTTAAATCCTCTTCATATTTAGATAGATGTTATTATAGTCTTGTGAACCAAAACCCCTCACTCCCTGAGTGGTGGTAATGAGAAATATGAATTACATTTCAAATACTAGTTTAAATTTTTTTTATTATTTATTAATACAAATAACTTTAATAGGTAATGCTCCTTACCTAACCCTAAAAGGGATAAAAGTGCGATAAAAGTCTTAAGCAGCATTGACATATGAATATGTAGTGGCAATCCCTGTCCAAGTATGGAAGGTGGAGGACCATTACGAATTGTCATCATGCCTCACCCTCCAAGCGGGGGAACATAATAATGATTTTGACCTTGGGAATATTACTGCTTTTTTAATATATTTTTGTGCTATGTACCATGTAGATGTGGCATCCAAGTCCTCCATCCATATGATTCAATGTATGCTCTTTTTTTTGCCACAAAAACAGAGAACATTAATCATATGTGCTTGAATAGTGCACCTAATATATTCCATTAATTTTAAAATTTTAAATTCCATGTTATTATAAATGATTGATTACAGATTATATATTTAACTATTAAGCATCTTTCTTCTCCTATATCCATTATAAAGGTTTAATTACATTTCATTTAAACGCTAAGCGATTGGTCAGGAGATCAAATTGTATCTTAAAAAATGCATCAATCCTTACTGTCGCTGAATAAGGGCCACACTTAAACGGCAATAAAAGAGAGGCAAAACCATAAGTTAAGCCCCTGAACCAACCCCAGAATCGCTATTAAGCCC